TGATTTGTAGCATCTTTTGTGGATCTACTTCATCATCCATTGTAAATTAGATAATTTCTACGAAATGACCTGCTCCGCAGAGAATCAAAGATTCGATGCTCCGCGGACTCCTCTGGAGGCTTACTTAACGTATGGAGAAAGTTCGATAAAAATGCTATCCTACGGCTGTAATGATGTGAAGATGATAATTTGATAGATCGACTCAAGAATTTATTTTTCGTTTCTGCTTCACATATTTCTTATAAAATTCGTGATGATGATCAGAGTCGAAAGGCAAGTTCGATTGGCATTTACAGTATGTAAGAACTTAAAAAGGAATATAACTAACTCACTTACGGAAATCTGCTCTGTACAATCGAATTAATCATAGGAATTACGTAATATGATCGAATCATGGAATCCGGTCAATTGAAAATCCCAAGCACTCGAATTACTTTCAGATAAGGTTTGATTCTCGTGTTAGTAGCTTCCGATCATTACGATCTGTCTGATATTTTAGCTAAAATATAAAATCCGATTAACAGATTAACAAACACATTTATTTTGCAGCACGTGAAAAATTTAAATGTGTAAAATTTTTTCCTTGAAAAAAATAAAATTATTTTTTTTCAAGCTACTTGCTGGAAAATTCGTACTAATCAGCCCAATTTTTTTCTTACTCAGTATGTCGGATTGATTGGATAAAAATAAATCACCAACAAAATCCACTTTACTTATATATTTTGCGGTAAACATTTATTGAAAAGTCATTCAATAAGATTAACACGAATTGACACAAGGGTTGATCGATCTTTATTATTTATTTTGACTGCATTATCATAACTTTTTATCAATAAAAGAAAGAGTTTAAGAGAATCAAATAGTTACAATATTACTATGATTTCATTATATCAAAGAATTGGTTGTGATATCAAAAAAAAAAAAAAAAAATAAAAGATGAATTTTATGAAAACCTAAGTTCATGTGTACCTAACATAGCACGTATGACATAATAAAAATCTACGGTAAGAGGATCGGGTATTGATGTAGGTGTTTGAAAAGTTGGTGGCATTCCATGAAAGAGACATTTTCTTTTAAGGTCAATAGTATGTTGTTGAAGCTGAATAAGAATTTGATCTTTATCATCAATGGTATTGAATTCAAATTCATTTAATTATAAGTATATTAAAACCATTTTCTATAAATCCACTTACTTTATATTAATTAAGTAATAATATATCATACCGAAACAGGTATTAATTCCCCACCCTGTGTCCTTTCATCTGTGCAAAAATGCCATACCTGTCAAAAAATAAAAATCGTAAAAATGATAGTAAAGAAACTAATCCAAAAAAATTATATCTTTAATTATTACTTACTTTCAATTTTGAAATAATTGTATCAGTTCGTATTAATTTTACTGCAATTGCATCATGAGCTCTACCTGGATAGAGCCAATAATCTTTTACTGCGTTTAATAAATGTGCTTCAGATTCCAAGAAGGCGACTTCGATTACAAGATTGGGCCACGGATTAAGCTAAAAATATAATCAACGATATTAGAAATTTGATTAATTATGATAATAGAAAATATTTAAAGCTCCACATACAGAATTAGTGCCTTCACGTCCATTTGAATTTACTTTAGGTATGTCAAGCGGTAAAAAAGATCCGTCTGGTTCTTTTCCTTTATTACCGGCTTTTGTACCTTTTATTCAATAATAGAAAGCATGTTCGAGTTATCTAACAGCATTATTAATAATAATAAAAAAAGTTAAACACTTACATGTGGATCCTGAACTAATGAGCATATCTTGTGGATCTTTCTTAACAATCAATCTCTCAATTGCACCCTTACAAACCTCATGAGGCCCTAAAGGCAATTCATACACATAAACATTTCCATTTATCCACTCCCATCTTCCATGCACATTATACATATCAGTTCGCTCTGAATATTTTTCCCAATCAACATCACTTTTCAGTAAATAGGGTAACCTTAACCAAGAAGCGACAACAGATGTTAATCACATGAAAACGACGAAGGCAGTGAGGTAAAAAATACTTACGAAGCTTCTTCCCAATTTGCACTTGGGTGTATATTCCCATCGGTCCACCACAAATTTCGAAACTTTGTCAATACGTCATTGGATTTAGGAGGTTGGAAGGTAGCATCGCTATTATTATAAATTAAGAGCAATTCTGAAGAGTTAGCCTAAAGGAATTATAATTAAATGACCAATTTTTTTCACCTTGTCTTGGCAACAGAGCTTACTGTTTCTCTTGAAGTTGCACTTTCTCTCGAAGTTGAAACTTAATTAGAATGACTCTTGAGTTAGCCAAAGGATATTACACATACCTTGATGCCTCACTAAAGCTTGTTTTTTTCAAGGATGACCAACTATAATTGTTGTACATGATTTACTGCAAACTAAGGTTGTCATTTTATGTTACAAAATGAAAGAGACCTGATCAACCTTCATTGGCGATTTTATCATTGATTTATTGATTTCCGCAGTAATTTTGAAAAACGATCCAAAATTTTTGAGATAACCTGACCAATCATAGAGACAGTCGATCAATTGACGCGCTGACATTAGTACCAGGTACTGTTCAAGCAAAATTTGAGCCTAATTTGAATAGTACACTTGTAGGTACCGTAAAATCGCGGTTTATAGTATTTCCCCTGTAGAATACTTACACGGACATTTTTAATGGTGCTTTGTTTGTCCTATTTAACAATTACCTTTTGAGAGGTTTTTTTAGGAATTAAAACCATAATAAAATGTATTTAGTATTAAATTTAATTAAATGAATTTTTATAATTTAAAATTTTTATTAAATGATCTTGGGATTAATTTTATTTTATCAAATAATAAACTGATAACAATAACTAACAAAAAAACTAACTCTAGTTGCTAAAACATTTCCTTTTAAAAGTGAAAATAAATTATCAAAATGCTCATTATGGAAATAAAATAGTTTTTCAATTCTAGTACATATACAGGGAGGGTATAAAAAGTATTGACCATCCTTTTAAAAATGTATTACAAAATTACTAATATATAAACTTTATTTTTTTTTATTTTATCAAATTACAGATTAATATTTCATTGGATCTCCATTCACTACAAGAATAGCTTGAATCTGACGCGATATAGATTTAATCAAATTACGGTAATAATTTACGAGTATTACATCCTATTTTTCTTTAACTCACTGCTCCAATTGTGTAATACTTAATGGTTGTGAATCACATTGACGAATTCTAACCTTGATATGTGACCAAATATTTTCTATCAGGTTGATATCAGAGCTTTGAGCTGATTAGAAAGTACCTTAACATTTGAGAATTTGAGAAAGAAACAAATGACTTTTTCAGTGTAAACAGATGCATTATTCTCTTAAAAAATAAACTTTTTTGATTTTTTTGCATAAGATTTAACTGTAAGAATTGCAAAATTAACCAAAACTTCATGATGTATATTTGCAATTATGCAACTAACTAAAGAGATCAGAGGATCCATATTGACTTAAGAAAAACATCTTAAAATATACAACTAAAGTTTTTTAGACTGTTACAATGCAGTCTTCATAGAATTCTTTAGAAGATTCACGTTATACTCATTCAAAACCTAAGGTTCTGAATTATGTATAGGTAGACTTATTTAACCAAACAATTTTTTAAAATCTTCTACTGTCTAATTTTCATAAGTACAAGCCTAAAGTAAACGTTTGACTTTATTACTTTCAGAAATTAACAAACTGAAATGAAAAATGCATAAGCAAAGACCTTGTTCAGCTAATTTATTACAGATGGATTATATAGAAATAGTTTTATTTATTTTATTCATAATATTTAAATGTATTTGAAAGAGAGTTTTACAACAGGATTTTTTATTTTTAACCACTATCTGCTTGAGTTATTTACATCCAGATTTATTAAAAATTCATGGTCAACTTATTTGTTTCTTTAGAAACTCTTTTAGTCTATATGATCTCTATATATGCTATATAGAAGAAATAGAATAACCAATGACTTCAAAAATTCTACTATTTATATTGCCTAACTTTTTTATTGTAATAATGGCCTCTTTTTGATTTTTACTAAATTCTTTCCTAAAACACATTTATGACAGCAAAATTTTTTAAACTATAAAATAAAATTTTTTTTATATGCCTGTATGACCTATTTTATATCTTACAATAATGCTTTATTTATTTTAACTGTTATATAATAATTGCGATTAATTAAAAATAAAAAAATACAGGACTTAATTTGGTAGATGTATGATAATATATGTTACACTTAGATTATATCATATGCTTAATACTTTTTATACCTTCCTGTATATATAATTTTGAATTAATATGATTAAATACAAAAATTTAAAATTAAAAAATTATGATTATTATTATTTAAATGTAAAAATAAAAAATTCTCTAATTATTAAGTTTATAATCTAATAAACTATCTAAATCAAATTCTTATAAAAAAAAGAAAAAGGAAAATTAATGAATATTTCTGAAGAAATATACCTATCCTAAACTGTATTACCAATTTCTAATTCTAATTTCAGAAGCCTTAAAGGTTTATAAGAGCTGTTCCTATAAAAAAAGGAATATTAATGAATATTCCTAAAGAAATACATCCACCTCAAGCTGCATTATCAATTCCCAATTTTAATTTCAGAAGTCTCAAAGGTCCACAAAAGCTGTTCTTATAAAAAAAAGAAAAAGAAAAAGAAATGTTAATGAATATTTTTGAAACAATACATTTATTCTAAACTGTATTACTAATTTTCAATTCCAATTTCAGAAGTCTCAAAAATTCACAAGAGCTGTTTCTACAAAAAAAAGAAAAAGGAATATTAATTAACATTTCTAAAAAAACACACCTACCCTAAGCTATATTACTAATTTCTAATTCTAATTCTAGAAGTTTCAAAGGTCTACATAAGCTATTCTTATAAAAAAAGAAAAGAAACATTAATAAACTTTCTTGAAGAAATACACCTATCTCAAGCTGTATTACTAATTTCCAATTCTAATTTCAAAAGCTTCAAAAAGTTCACAAGAGTTATTCCTATAAAAAAAGAAAAGGAATATTAATAAATGTTCTTGAAGAAACATACTCATCTCAAGTCATATTACCATTTCTAATTTCAATTCTAGAAACCTTAAAAGTTCGTAAGAGCCATTCCTATAAAAAAATAAAAAAGGAATATTAATAAATATTTTTAGAGAAATACACCCACCTCTGCAAAACTTACCTTTTCTATTTCAACTTAAAATTTTAAAAGAATCTAGTTTAAGAATGCTATTTCTAAAAAAGAAGAGAAAAAAAAAGAAAGAAGAGAGAAAAAAGAAAAATGAGAAAGTAGAAAAGTAGAAAAGTAGAAATACAAAAAAAAATTTAGATAAAAAACTTGATTAGCTCAATGCAGTTAATCATTTTAATTTTTGCGTATATAATTAAAAGATAATAGGCATGATATTTTATAATATGCATATATCTTTGATTAATTTTTCTATAAATGAATTTCCTTTGTTTATTCCTAAGAATGTATATTTATAGAGAGTTAACTGTAATTTTATAGCTATTTTTGATTAAAAATAAAATACTACTATATAAACCAATTAGATTTTTTATAAAATTTTGACTTAAAACCCTTAAGGGGTATTTTATATAGGGATAGTTTAGTCAGTACTTTATGGTAATACAATCACTTTACTGAAACTTGTCAATTTGAAAAATATTTTTAAAATATATCAGGTATATAATATGACCATTTATGTTACCTTTGTTTTAACTAGATATCAGAAATATGTTGAAAATATGATTTGTAATATTTTTAACATATTTCAATTATATATTGTAAATATACCGAAAATATTATAATATAATATTTTTATCATATATCAAAAATATGTTAAATATGTTTAAATTGTAATATTTATATT